GACTCCTACATAGACCTACCCATTGGAGGAAGACTAGCTCACTTCTTCCACCAGTGGGAGCAGACCTCCACGGACAACTGGGTACTACAAACCATCCAGTCCGGGCTGTCCCTGGAGTTCCTGGTCACACCCCCAGACCGACTCATCAACTGCTCGGTCTCCAGGAACCCCACCAAACGCAAACTCATGCAGGAGGCCATCCAACACCTGTTGGACATTCAAGCCATAGAACCGGTCCCAGCGGAATACAGAGGCAGAGGATTTTACTCCATCCTCTTCGTGGTTCCAAAGACTTCAGGAGGATGGAGGGCAATCCTGGACCTAAAAAACCTCAACCGCTACATCACATACAAAAAATTCAAGATGCAATCCCTTCAGTCCATCCTGGGAAGCATCAGAGAAGGAGACTTCCTGGCATCGATAGACCTCACGGAAGCCTACCTTCACATCCCCATCCACCCAAACCACCGCCGGTTCCTACGTTTCTGTTACGGGGGAAAACACTTCCAATACAGAGCTCTCCCCTTCGGTCTATCTTCGGCACCCAGGGTATTTACCAAGATACTAGCAGTGGTAGCCGCCAAACTGAGAAAAATCCCAATACGCGTCCAATGTTACCTAGACGACATACTAATCCAAGCAACATCCCTACAGACAGCTCAGGCGGACGTAAGGACCGTCATTCGCGTCCTCCAATTACACGGATTCTCAGTAAACTTTCAGAAGAGCCAGACAGTTCCCTCGTCCAGGCTGCTGCATCTGGGGGCCATGATAGACACAACCAACTGTATGGTCTATCTCTCCCAAGACTGGGTGGCCGGCATCAGGGAACTGGCTCGCTGGGTTCACAGGCAACGTTCAGTTCCGATACTAACACTTTCCCAATTATTGGGCAAGATGGTATCGGCCATAGCCATTGTACCCTGGGCCAGGCTCCACCTACGGGAACTACAGTGGTTTCTGCTCCCTTACCAACGGCAGAACACCAGCGCATCCAACCACCTAGTCAGGGTCACGGCACAAATCCGCAGGGCGCTACGCTGGTGGTGCTCTCGGGCCGTGACCAAGGGGTCACCCTTCAAGGAACCAGTCAGAGTTACCATCACTACAGACGCCAGTCTGTATGGTTGGGGAGCCCATCTGGACTCCCAGTTTGTACAGGGACGTTGGTCCGCCACGGATCTGAGAAACAACATCAACTGGCTAGAACTCAGGGCTATCCACCTAGCCTTGCAACAATTCAAAGACAGAATCAGAGGCCACCACGTTCTAGTCCTAACAGACAACGTAGCAGCCAAGGCGCACATCAATCGGCAGGGGGGGACCAGATCAAAAACCCTGATGACAGAGTCACGACTCCTATTCAGCTGGGTAGAGCCCAATCTGAAGTCACTAAAAGCGGAACACATATCGGGGGTCAACAACCAGCAAGCGGACTTCCTAAGCCGCACCACAGTGGACCCTTCGGAGTGGGGGCTACACCCGAACTTGTTCCTAGACATCTCCCGCAAGTTCGGGTACCCGATCCTCGATCTGTTCGCATCATCAGACAATGCCCAGCTCCCCAGATTTTACTCTCGTTACTTCAACCCGCGAGCAGAGGGGACGGACGCTCTGAGAACTCAGTGGCCTCAGGGTCTGCTTTATGCCTTTCCCCCACTACCACTCATACCGGCGGTCATCCGCAAGCTGATTCAGGAGCGGGCAGAAGTGATCCTAGTAGCACCATATTGGCCACAGAGACCGTGGTTCGCCGACCTGATGAACCTGTCTCAGTCGCCCCCATGGAACATTCCCCCTCATCAAGTGTCCCTACACCAGGGAACCATCAGTCACCCGGAACCCCAATGGTTACAACTGACCGCCTGGCACTTGAGCGCCAGATAATGGCACAGGAACTATTCTCTCCCGGGGCCATTACCATAATTTAAGCTTCACGCCGTCTGGCAACAAACCGCATTTATGACTCCACTTGGAAAAATTTTTGCCTTTGGTGCAGGGAATGGCAGTTTGACTTACACAAACTCTACATCCCTCAGATAGTAGATTACCTCTTGGAGGGACTAGACAGAGGCCTCGCCCCCGCGACCATCCGCAGGCAAGTGGCGGCCTTGTCCACCCTCCTCACCTGCACGGATTCGGTTCCCTTAGCTCACCACCACAGGATCCGCGCCTTTATCAAGGGCGCCTATAACACCAGACCTCCAGTAATTCACAGGTACCCGTCCTGGGAACTACCGCGAGTCCTTCACGCACTCACTCGGTCACCATTTGAACCATTGGCGACCGTTTCCTTGCGACACCTGTCGCTAAAGGTGGCGTTCCTGATTGCCATCACATCGGCCAGACGAATTTCGGAACTGGCCGCACTGTCAGTCAGAAACGACCTATGCATTTTCCACAAGGACAGGGTGGTCCTTAGGTTAGATCCTGCCTTCATACCGAAGGTGAATTCACTCTTTCACAGGACACAGGAAGTAATTCTCCCAAACTTCTGTCCAAATCCAACACATGACCGGGAGCGGCAGTGGCATACATTGGACGTCCGCAGAGCCTTGCGGCGTTATATAAAGCGTACAGAACCCTTCCGCAAATCGGAGGCCCTATTTGTGTCCTTCCAAGCGGGCACCTTGGGGCGTAAAGTTTCCGCGGGCACCATTGGAAGGTGGATCCGAAGCTGTATCGCAGAAGCTTACAATGTATCATCCCTGCCGCCCCCAAGTCATCTCACGGCCCATTCCACCCGAAGCGCTGCAACTTCGGCGGCATGGGCTACCCAGGCGTCAATCGAGGAAGTTTGCAGTGCCGCGACATGGTCCTCGCCTTCCCCGTTTATACGACACTACAAGATAGACCGCTTTGCATCGGCGGACACCTCCTTTGGTAGGAGGGTCCTCCAGCAAGTTGTCTCAGAGATCAATCTACCGGCCTTATCTGTTTCCCACCCCTTGGGACAGTGAGGCTTTGGTACGTCCCATCCGTGGATTATCTATCTCCTGTACTGGAGAAGGGGCGTTGGTCTTATCTGAACGCCTTTTCTCAGTACGGAGATGGATAATCCACACCCACCCCAAGGCCAGTAGGCCGCTAGTAGGGAGCTGAGAGCCAATACCTCGTCAATCATCAGCCAATTCGCCCTCGTTAAGAATGGACTCCACAGGAAGTGGGGGCGTGTCAAGCTTTGGCTACTTGGTCTCAAGAGCAGGCAGACAGAGAAAACCCATCCGTGGATTATCCATCTCCGTACTGAGAAAAGGCGTTCAGGTAAGACCAACGCCCCTTCAGCACCATCATATATTTGGTCGCTGAACAATATAGTTGATAAGTGAAGACTATATGTAAAAGCTCTTTCATGACTTATCTTAATTTTCTTTGCCAACTTTTCTTTATTGGCTCCAAGTTACCTGGGTCTTTTTGAGCATTGATCCTGAATTCCTAGACTTTCATATGACATTCCTAGACTTTCATATGAAATCTGTTCCTTTAAGGTTTTTGGAGATAATGGTCCATCTTTAGATAATACTGAAGTCACCAGGTAATCATCCATTTGTTCCCTTTAGGATCCTTCAGGTGTTTTATCTACTGTACATGCCTAAATATATTGCAGAACCTTTGATAGCTAAAATAGTGAAATGCATTTTTTAAAGAAGATAAAAAATATATACGCTTTCCTTTCTCTACATCATTTTCCCCCCTGTTGGATTTCATTTGAAGTATGGAGACTTAACTGTCTGCACAGGATAAGTGGTGTCTGCATTTGCCTTTCCCTTTCCCTAGTTTGGATAAACCTGGGATCTATATATGGAGTTTTTTGCCTCATGTATGGGGTAGTTCAGTATTCGTGAAGATTTCAAGGCGATAAAACAAATTTAGTAAGACAGAAGAATGCAAACATTTTAACATCTGTGGAATTTTAAGATCATGTTATTGATGCTAAAGCTGCCATGGAGAAGACTAACCCTAATCCTTTACTAAATGGCTGTCATTCAATAAAGCATTGGGCTTAAAACTAATAAGAACGAAAGAAAATAAGAAAGAAGCATATAATCACTAGAGTTATTTCTATATACTTGTTTTTAAAGGAAGTTTATAATGTGTTATTAGAACTTCAGTACTTAGGTTGATGAAATATATTCCTATGCGGTAAACAGTAAACAGTACTATAGTTTTTGATCTAGTATCGATTAGTCTACAGTTTTTTGTAATAGTGCCTCTTTCTAGATTGCTACTCAGCCTAATCATGATGTCTACTGATCACAGTGAAGATAGTAATGAATATTCAGGTTCAGAAACTGGATACAGATCACCTGATTAATTCCCTAGGGAGAGAGCTAAGAGATTTAAGGGGACCACGGGGGTAAAGTACACTTCTTAAGCTTCGCTATGTACCCTCTAATTCCAGCTAGCTATTTGTGCCAAGTAGTGCATCTTAGATGTTTTCAGTAACTTCCAGTTACTAATTGAGTTCAAGACTTTATCTTGGACTTAAGGGACCAAGCGCCTCTCAAAACCATTCTTTGATTGTGAATGTGCTATGGTTAGTGACAGTTTATTGAAGGTTTTAACAACTATATAGTCTCTAATTCACATCATTTGCAATTGTCCTTGAATGGAAAATAATTTTAACCTGTTGAATTTTTGTAAAAAAAAAAAAAAAAAAAACCTGGAAAATTTGATAGCCAAGAAGCTTGCCCAGTTATCAAAAAATATTAATTTTAAATACAGGTATCCTCAACTGACAACCACAATTGAGCCCAGAATTTATGTTGCTAAATGAGAAATTTATTAAGTGAGTTTTGCCCCATTTTATGACCTTTCTTGCCATAGTTTAGTGAATCATTGTAGTTGTTTTACTTGATTACCTTCGTTAAACTTTAAAAATCAAAGTTTTTTTCATTGTTTTGAAGGAATTATAGGCATGTGCTAAGGCAAAGTTTTACAGAATGCTGTAAAATTATTTTCACTCTGTTCTGAGCAATTTTTCTTTTTTAAAATTTCAGTTTAATTTTGTTGGAAGAATTCTTGGGCCTAGAGGGCTAACAGCTAAACAACTTGAGGCTGAAACAGGATGTAAGATAATGGTCCGAGGCAAAGGGTCCATGAGAGACAAGAAAAAGGTAAGTTCATTAAAGAATAGCAATTTATTGTCAGGAAAACTTTTTCACAGATGGCAGAATTTCCAATATAATTAAATGATTAAGTTAATAAAATATTCCATAACTATATTACTAAATTATGTAGTACTTTGGAAAAAAAGTTTTTTATTTTATTCAAATCATTTGTACATATGTTATATGTTCTGAAGGAAATCTTGAGGCTTTGCTTACTTACAAAGTGTGTGTGTATGTGTGTGTGTTTTGGTGGAATGTCTCCTGGGATTTTGTAACATCCTCCAGATATGGAGAGAATTAAATTTAACATTAAAAAAGAATTAAATGCAATCTTATTTTCAAGAATAGAGGGGCAGCTGTATTTGTTTTTAAAAAATGGAAAATCTGCCCATTGGATTCATAGTATATTTGGATTATGCAAAGAATTTTGAGAAATTACATATTTCAGTAAACCCTAATATATAAACTGACTGGACTAAGAAATAGCTGTTAACAATCATGGTTAACCATGATTGTAAATCATGACTGATTTTAATACTGAGGTCTGTAATCTTGGCTCCTCTGTTGTATAGTTATGACTGAGATGTTCATTGCAAAAATCCTAAAGACAATATCATGTTTAGAAAAAGAGTTTTCTCTATTATAATATCACTACTCATTGTTAATTAACCATTCACTAAAAAACAGATGAAATCTTCTGGTTGGTTTTTTATATAAAAAAAGAGCTGTATTTTAAGAGTTTGATATGAAACATAGATTCAGTTTTTTAATCTCAAGACTACTAATTATTTTTATATCAGCACTTAAAAGATTAATTATAAAATTTAAGACAGTAGTATTTAGCTTTCACTTTATAAGAATATAAATGCAAAAGTATGCAAAATAAAATGTTATGTTTATAGAGTTCTGATTATTATGTGAAATATAAAAAAATAAAACTAAGGTATAACATAATTTAGAAGATAGCTAATTTTAGCTCGACTATATTTTTAGATACTAAACTGAGGAATGATTATACTGTATCTAGCATTAAATATGAGCTCAGGTCCTCTTCCTTCTCCTCTATTTTTTCTTTTTCCAGTTAATGTTTTCCAATAAATTTTGTATTTTCTCTACCATCACTTCAGTACCAAGAGCATAATTTTATGTGGATAGTATCATCCAGCAAACCACATCTAGGCTTAGAAACATAAATATATAAATATTATTAGAAAAAATGTATGGCTGCCCATCTAACATACAGAACTTAGGTTGCTTGAATGGAGACTACTAGGGTTAGACATCCTGGAAGATGGCACACGTGTGACTTGGTGAAGTCATCACCAATTCAGTCTCACTTTGGAAGATTTATTTTCTCCAGCATGAAGATGGAGAATCCACGAATGGGTTAACTCTGTCTTCCTGCCCAATTAGACTAAGCCTGTCAAACTTGCCATGCCTCTCCTGGCTAGAATACCACCCAATCACGACTTAGTCTGATGCCCAGAAGGATGTAAAATTTTTGGCTCCAGTTTCTCAGACTTATTCTTCATTGTTCAGGTTGTATGGTTCTCACCCATTCGTGAATCCTCTATTTTCATTGCAGTGCTGGGATCAGTGCTGCGACAAACTGCTCAGCGTTTTTTTTCCCCTTTCTCCCATTCAGCTGCAGCCTTGGCTCTAAGCTCCTTATTTTGGCTAAATCGCTGAAATCAGATTTCCCTTTATTTTTTCAGTCGCTGGGACCAGCGCAGTGCATAGGCAGTTTATCGGCCTTGCCAACTGGACTGCAGGCTCAGGAAAGCCCCTGGCAGCTGTCCCATTCTTCAGCGCTCGTCGCGGCTGCCATTTTAAAAACTGCATGGGGAGCCGTTTTTTTCCTAAAAATCCTTTTAGTGTCCTCCCAACTGCCGCTTGCAACACCTAACGGCCTGGATTGCTTCCTTCAGCCAGAAACTAACTGGCTAAAGGGATGCGTTCCTTTGTTGTTCCTGGTTCTCCTGATCGGCACTCACTCTCCTGAGGTGATTTTATGTAGTGGCCGCCATTTTAGGCGTCGCTAATATTCATTTGAATCTGAAGGGAGAGACAGACAAGATCAAACCTTGCATCGGAATCTTAATTATCAGACAGGAGCTTGAAACAGGATGGGGCGTGGTCAGAATGCCACAAGGTCCATAGATCTAAAAATAAGCAACAGTGGGGGGGGCGTTCTTCCCCTGTGACTGTTCCCAGCCACTGAGGCCTTCTGTGGGTAACAGCGTTCAGGCTGCACAGTACTCATAGCTTATTGAGATCAGGCCTTTATACTACTGTTTATACACATATAAAGATACTCAATATCTTCAATTTCTAGACAAAGAAGCACAAGTCCAAGTTTCTCATAGTGGATGGTCATTCACAAGAGGTAGCACATACAGCCCCAGGCCTCAACAGGGTGCTTCTCTACTTATCGCAACAACAAAGTGTGCTGGCCATGCCTCTTGGCCTTGCCGCCACCAAATAGGCCTAGTGTGCCAGCCGTTATCACTGAGGTGATCTTGCTGCCACTAAGTGAGTTACGTGTGTGCTGGCTGTCACCACCTGTTGGTTTTGCTGCTACAGTAAGCTTTGAGCAGTGCACTGAAGGTGCATTAACTGGTGTTACAGCCATCAGTAGCGTTGTGGGTGTGCGAGAATCCATTAAGTTGGTCCTGCAGCCACCATTACCTAGAGTACTTGCTGGTTCCATCGTGGTGACACACAGTCACAGATCAGTACTCTGCTCCTTTACTTTGAGATCCCTCTCAGAACACCACTGAGATATCTCCATTGCGATGGCAGACAACACGGCACCTCAGACCACGCATGGTGCTCCTGGCACTCCCATCCAAAAGAAGCACAAATCCTCCAAACTGGAGGCTGTGGGAAAACTTAAGGCCAAGGCCAAGGCCATTTCGGGCAAGAGGCCCTCTTAGGCGGCTGAGAAGGAGGCCAGCAGGAGACACCAAGCCTTGGAAAAGCAGTTTTCCAAAGTTGAGAAACTGAGCATAAGGGGACAGGCCATGCCTCCCCGGTTCCAGCTGAGGATTCAGTTTTTGGGCCACAATTTGCCCCCTCCAATTTAATTGTCCATCGGGCAGACCCAGACAGGAGGAGATGATTCCCAGATGATTCCCAGACCCGAATCTGTGGCATCAATGATCCCATCTTATTTCTCCCAGGCGGGAACCCCAGAATATCTGGGTTCTATTTCTTCTATCCGATCCTCTCAAGACAGAGAGTCACGTTCCGAGGAGTACGGAGCAATGGGCATACAGTTATCGGAGGATGAGGAACCTTCTCCAGACCCTCCTCCCTTTGTGGGCCTATTTGACTCAGCGTTATTCAAATTGCTGCTCCACAAGGCAAATACCTCTGCCAAGATTGGCCCTGATCAGGAGCCTCAACCGGGTCCATCCACCAGCCAAGACACAAATCTGCTGTTCTCCGAGCCTATTGTTACACAAAGGCACATCCCCGTTCCTCTCTTTCTTAATACTATTCAAAAGCAGTGGGGAATACCTGGCGCCCTCCCCACACTGGGGGGAACAGACAAAAGGCTCTTTAATGTCGCCCCTGCCTTGTCAGAACTGCTGGAGGTTCCGGTTATAGATGAACCTCTAACGCCACTATTTTCCTCTTCCACGATGTCAGGGGACATGGCTGAAACCTTGAAGGCGGAGGACAGAAAATCTGAGCTCTCTTTCCACAGGACTCACCAGGCCTTGGCATGGTTGGTAAGGGCAGCTATATCCACCTCCTTCGCCAGAACCTCTCTTATCTGGTTTCGCGAGCTTCAGGCCACAGTTCCTCCGGAGGACGTACGAACACACCAGAACTTGGGTAAGTTAGCGGCTGCCTCAGAATACATGGCGCATGTGTCACTACACGCTGCCAGATTCTCATCCCAAGCCATAGCTTCAAACGCAGGTTCCTGTGGCTCAAACAATGGCGAGCAGATGCAAAATCAAAGTGGTGCTTAGTGGCTGCCCCTTACCGTGGCGGTCAGCTGTTTGGAGAGGCTCTGAACGCTTACCTAGTGGAGAATAAGGACAAACGTAAGGTGATGTCCCACCTTACCAGATGGGCAGACAGATGGCTGAACCCGTATAGCCCTTTCAATCAGGGTTAGGATTGGAGTTGGCTGAGCCTCCCCATTCCTTCCCTGCCAGATCAGATTGCCAATTTGAACGTTCTGCTACCAAACCCAGGCAGCAATTCCAGGCCAAGCGGCCCTTTTGAGCACGGGAGGCTGTCCCTTCAGAAGATCCAAGTGACTTCAGGGAGACCTCCCCCATAGCTGGCAGATTGACTCTCTTTGCTCACAAATGGGAGACCACCACCACAGACACCTGGGTTCTCAACACCATCAGGTGCGGCCTGTCCCTGGAATTTGTATCAGAACATTTCATTTCTTGTTCAACGTCGAAAAATCCAGTCAAGAAGGGCCTCATGAGCGAGACCATTCGACACCTTTGGAGATAAGGGCCATAGAACCAGTACCAGCTGGACAACTGAGAAGGGGGTTCTACTTAATCCTCTTCGTCGTTCCAAAGGCCTCGGGAGGATGGAGGGCAATACTCGACCTAAAGGGGCTGAACTCTCATCTTGCCTATAAAAAATTCAAAATGCAAACTCTCAAGTCTATTCTGGACAGCATCAGAAGGGACGACTTCCTGACGTCTTATCGACCTCACAGAAGCATACCTGCATTTTCCCATCCTTCCTGGCCATCGGAAGTTCCTCAGGTTCTGTTACATAAACCACCATTATCAATGTAGAGCCCTACCGTTCAGTCTCTTGTCAGCTCCAAGAGTATTTACAAAGATCTTGGCAGCACTGGCCGCTCATCTGAGGCTAGTCCCGGTACGCATTCAATATTACATGGATGACATCCTCATCCAGTCCCCCTCTATTCAGGCGGCTCAGTCGGACCTGGCCTTGTCCATCAGGACCCTCCAAGACCACGGGTTCTCAGTGAGTTTCCAAAAGAGCCAGACAGCTCC